ACAGCTTGTTTATGCCAGCAGTGAAGAAGCCTGAAGTATGAGTGGTGATGAAATCGCAAAAGTCATTTTTCTTAGCTTGTTGAGAATTGAATATTTTTGCTTGCAAGAAGTGGTCCAAAGCCTGGAAGAAATGATAGTTGGTGCAAGGTGTAGTGAATACGGTGGATGACAGAGAGTTTCCCAATACAGCTTCTGTAATTGAAGTAGCTTTATTTTTTATGGCAAGTGGTCTTGCAAGAGGATTGCCTGTCTTTATTAACCAATCTCAGCTGCTTAATTGCAAGCATCCTCATTATTTTGTCCAATTGGTTGCAGTAGACATCCACTGTAACCTATTGACCAGGTTTCATGAAGCTGCAGTGGATAATGCCAGCACTGGACCACCAAACAGACACCATTAGCTTTTCTTGATGAATATTCAGTTTTGGACTGTGTTTCAGCACTTCATGTTTATCCAACCATTGGGCTAAACACTTAAAATTGTCAAAAAGAATCCATTTTTCACCACACATAACAATACAGTGTCGAAATAGTTCGCCTTTATGCCATGACAAAGGAAGGCAAGCTTTGAGACAATTTTTCTTCTGACACTCTTTAATTCATGTAGTGCCCATCTATTCAGCTTTACCTTGCCCATTTGTTTCCAATGGTCCAATATCATAGGAATAGTAATGTCAAACCTTGCTGCTAATTCGTGCATAGGTTGAGATGGATTCACTTCCACTACAGCTTTCAGCTCATCATTATCCACATTGGTCTCAGGTCAGCTGCGTGGCTCATTTTCAAGATTAAAATAATCAGAATGGAACTTCTCAAACCATCAAGACACTGTGTGTTCATTAGCCACATCTTTCCCAAACACTTCCCAAATAGCTGTCTGTGCTACATTGGTTCCACAATGGAATTCGTATTCAAAAATAACATGAATTTTTTACTAATCCATGGTTTCACAAAAATTGCTCTAAAAATTTTTTTGAAAGATATTCACAAGCCAAAATGTGCATTTTAAAGTGTGAGGATGCACCTGCACAAAAATAAAAGTGTCAAAGTCAAATGTCAGAGATGTCAACTGTCAAACTTAGTACTTAAGGAAATTGGACATTCCATAATTAATAACCTAATATAAAATAACTTATTTTCCTTTGAGTAGATCTCCAGCAGTGGGATTGCTGGATCAAACAGTAGATCTACTTTTAGTTCTACTGTATAATCTCCATACTGTTCTCAATAGAGATTGAACTAATTTATATTCCCACCAAAATATAAGCGTTCCTTTTTCACTACATCCACATCAACACCTATCGTTTTTTGACTTTTTAGTAATGGCCATTTTGACAGAGGTAAGATGGTATCTCATTGTGGTTTTAATTTGCATTTCCCTAATGATTATTGATGTTGAGCATTTTTTCATGTTTGTTGGCCATTTGTATACCTTCTTTGAAAAAATGTCTGTTCATGTCTTTTGCCAAATTTTTAATGGGGTTACTTGGGATTTTTTGCTGATTTGTTTGAATTACTTGTAGATTCTAGATATTAGTCCTTTATCAGATGTATAATTTATGAATATTTTCTTCCATTCTGTAAGCTGTCTGTTTATTCTGTTGATTCTTTTGCTTTACAGAAATTTTTCAGTTAATTAAGTCCCATTTACTTATTTTTGTTTTTGTTATATTTGCTCTTAGGCTTTTAGTCATAAATTCTAGGCCAATGTTCAAAGAGTTCCTCCTGTTTCCTTCTAAAATTTTTATGATGTCAGGTCTTATGTCTAATTCTTTAATCCATCTTGAGTTAATTTTTGTGTATGGTAAGAGGTAGAGATCCGGCCTCATTCTTCTGCTTGTGACTATTCAATTTTCCTGGCATCATTTAGTGAATAGGATGTCTTTCCCCAGTGTATGGTTTTCTCTGCTTTGTCAAAGATTAATTGGTTGTCAGTGTATGGTTTTATTTATGGGTTCTCTATCCTGTTCCATTGATCTATATGTCTACTTTTATATCAATTCCATGCTGTTTGGGTTACTATAGCCTTGTAGTATAATTTGAAGCTGTATAAAGTCATGCCTCCAGGTTTGTTCTTTTTGCTTAGTCTTGCTTTGACTATTCGGGCTCTTTTTTTATTCCATATGAAATTTAGGATTTTTTTTTCTAATTCTGTGAAAAATGACACTGGTATTTTGATGGCAATTGTATTGGACCTGTAAATAATTTTGGACAGTATGGATATATTGACAATATCAGTCCTCCCAGTACATGAACATAAGATGTTTTTTCATTTGCTTGTGTCGTCAATGATTTCTTTCGTCAGTATTTTGTAGTTCTCCTTATAGAAATCATTTTTACTTTCTTGGTTAAGTATAATATATTCTCAGATGTTGCATTTTCTTTGCAGCTATTATAAATCATATGGAGCTCTTGATTTGATTCACAGCTTGACTCTTATCGGTATATAGCAGTACTATTGATTTGTGTACCTTAATTTTATAACCTGAGACTTTACTGGATATTTATTGGTTTTGTTTTTGCGTTGTAGAGAGAGGGTCTCACTATATTGCTCAGGCTGGTCTCAAACTCCTAGGCTCAAGCAATTCTCCTGCCTCAGCCTCCCAAAGTGCTGGGATTACAGGCATGAACCACCATGCCTAGCCAAGTTTGTTTATCAATTCTAGGAGTCTTTTGGAGGAATCTTTAGGGTTTTCTGGATATAAGATCATATTATCAGCAAATAAGGATAGTTTGACCTCTTTTCTGATTTGGATGCCCTTTATTTCTTTCTCTTGCCTGATTGCTTGGGCTAAGACTTCTAGCACTATGTTCAATAAAAGTGGTGAGAGTTGGCATCCTTGTCTTGTTCTAGTTCTTTCAACAGTACCCCATTCAGTATAATGTTATCTGTGGATTTATCATATATGGTTTTTATTGTTTTGAGATATGCCCCTCTATGCATAATTTGTTAAGAATTTTTATTATGAAAAAGTACTAGATTTTACCAAATGCTTTTTCTACATCTATTCAGATGATAATATGGTTTTTGTTTTGAATTCTGTTTACATGTTTACATTCTGTTAAATGTCTTACACATTTGTTGATTTACATATGTTGAACCATCTTTGCATCCCTGGGATGAAACCCACTTGATGTGCTGTTGGATTCTATTTGGTAGTATTTTGTTGGGTATTTTTGCATCTATGTTCTTGAGGGATATTGATCTGTAGTTTTCTTTTTTTGTTGTGTCCTTTCCTGGCTTTGGTATCAGCATAATACTAGCTTCATAGAATGAGTTAGGGAGGCTTCTTCCCTTCTTGATGCTATGGAATAGTTTCAAGGATAGGTAGGATAGGTACAAGTTCTTCTTTGCAGGTCTGATAGAATTTGGCTGTGAATCTGTCTGGTACTGGTCTTTGTTTTGTTGGGATTTTTTTTTTTTATGACTGATTCAATCTCACTACCTGATATTGGTCTATTCAGGATTTCTATTTTTTCCTGATTCAGGCTTGGGAGTTTGGGAGTTTTGTGTTTTTGACAATGTATCCATTTCCTCTTGATTTTTCAGTGTGGTTAGAAACTAGAGGTTTCTACACACATAGAGGTGTTCGTAATAGTCTCAGATGATCTTTTGTATTTCTGTGGTATCACTTTTAATGTCTGCTTTTTCATTTCTGATCAAGCTTTTTTGAATCCTTGCTCTTATTTTCTTGGTCAGTCTAGCTAATAGTCTATCAATTTTGTTTGTCTTTTCAAAGAACCAACTTTTTGTTTCATTGATCCTTTGTAATTTTTTTTTTCAATTTCATTTAGTTCTTCTCTGATCTTTGTTATTTCTTCTCTTCTGCTAGCTTTGGGTTTGGTATGTTCTTGCTTTTTTTGGTTTCCTGAGCTGTGACATTAAGTTGTGAATTTGTGATCTTTCTGTCTTTTTGATGTAGGCCTTTAGTGCTATAAAACTTCCCTCTTAGCATTGCTTTTTCTGCATCCCAGAGATGTAGTAGCTTGTGTTGCCATTGTCATTCAAGTCAAAGAATTTTTTTATTTCTGTTTTGATTTAATCTTTGACCCAAAGACTGTTCAGCAGCAGGTTTTTTAACTTTCATGTATTTGTATAGTTTTGAGAGTTCCTCTTGAAGTTTATTTCTAGTTTTATTCCACCATGTTCTGAGAAGATACACAGTATGATTTCAATTTTTTAAATTTGCTGAGATTTGTTTTGTAGCATAGCATATGATCTATCTCAGAAAATGCTCCATGTGCTGATGAGTAGAATTTATATTCTGCAGTTTTTGAGTAGAATGTTCTGTAAATGTCTGTTATGTCCATTTGTTTCAGAGTCCTGTTTAAGTCTAGTGTTTCTTTGTTGATTTTCTCCCTCAATGATCTTTCTAATTCTGTCAGTGGAGTGTTAAAATCCCCTATTATTTTATGTTACTGTTTATTTCATTTTTAGGTCGAGTAGTATTTTTTTATGAATCTAGGAGCTCTGGTATTGGGTGAATATATATTTAGGATTGTTATATTTTCTTGTTGAATTGATCCCTTTATCATTATATAATGACCGTCTTTGTCTTTTTTCACTGTTGTTAATTTAAAGTCTGTGTTATCTGATATAAGAATAGATAGTCCTGCTTGCTTTTTGTTTCCATTTGAGTGGAATATTTTTTTGTACCCAGAGTATATGTTACTTTTTATGAGTTAAATAGATTTCTTGGAGATAGCAGATGTTTGGGTTGTTTTTGTCTACCCATTGCATCAATCTCTGTCTTTTAAGTGGGGCATTTAGACAGTTTACAATCAATGGTGAGATTTATGTCAGGAACAGGAGTCAAAAATATCCCTCAATAAATACAGATGGATAAAGAGATGGACACACATGTGCACCAAAAACAAACATCAACACACTCCAGATAAACCGCATACAGCAGATGCTCTATGTACTGATTATTGGTGGTCTAAGGAACTTTAAAAAGAATGAATCAATTTAATGTATTCTTTTTTGTTTTCTTCATTAGATCCCCTCAGCAGAGTGTGTTTAAGACCAAAAAATGTAACTGATTCATTGAGCACCTACATTAATGCTAATTATATTAGGGTAAGTAAATAAACACAAATTTCTTTCTGGTGACTTACTGTTTGGAATTGTTATTTTTATCGTTTTCCTATAGTATATTTCCTAGAGTATATTAAGTTTGGTTTAACTTGGTAACTAGCAAAGTTTTATTTTTTATTTTTGTCTTAGTCACAATCAACATTGGTAGTGAATTCTTTATAATGAGTCTTCCTTCATTGTGGGCCCTTGGCTATAGCAACCTATATGCACACTCTACTGGGGAGTAGGCATTACAACTCTTAATACCCTATGGTATCCTTAACTTGCTAGAAAAACAGCATGTTAATTGTGGTGATAGAATCAATGAAGCTGCCATAGTCTGTCTTGCAGTTATTTTATTCTGCAGCTCTTTCACCTAAACTTTTATGCAAGGTATGAACTTAAAAGCCAATATTTTTGTCTCTTTACTCCAAATAGGGCTACAGTGGCAAAGAGAAAGCATTCATTGCCACACAGGGCCCTATGATCAACACCGTGAATGATTTCTGGCAGATGGTTTGGCAGGAAGACAGTCCCGTGATTGTTATGATCACAAAACTCAAAGAAAAAAATGAGGTATGATGTTCAACCAATTTTTGAAAGTTATACATGTTCTGTTGCTATAGAAGGGATATTAAATAAGTAAAATTGCTGTGGACTTATGACATATTTGTTTAAGATGGAAACTTTAGGACATTTAAATGCTAGGTCACTTTATACACCCGTAAATTGGTAATTGTTATTATTTTATGAATGGCAACTTTCTTTCAGATAAGTCAGTGTACTTGGCATACACATATGTAATTTGTACCCACATATCTCAGTAAGAAAATAAGAGGCCACAAATTGTCACCCTAATTTATAGGCAGGGAAATAAACTGTTCATTCATATCCCAAGTAATTTTTGATCATGTGCTATATGACAGGTACTATTCTAGTTGTTGGTGATATAATAGTAAACAATATGTACCAAGATCTATGACCTTGGTAGATTTTAATTTTCTAGTGAGGGACAAAAAAAACAATAAACATAATAAATTTATAAATAATATAGAATATGAAAAGAGAAATCCTATTTTTAAAAAGTAGAGCAGGGTAAGGGGTTTAGGTATGCTGGGTGTTGGTGGGAGGGGATGCATGGGCTGCAGTATTAAGTAGAGTGGGCTAGATGAGTCTCATTAAGAAAGTGAAATTTGAAGAAAGATATGAAAGAAGTTACAAAAATCAATCAACTTTCTCAATATCTGCATAATAAGGAATCCAAGAGAAACAAAATTAGACTCCATCTTAATAGAATAATAAGTGAAAACTTCCTAAGTCTTAGAAGAGATGTGGATATCCAGATCTATAAATCTCAAAGGAGTCCATGTAGATTCAATCAAAAGAGGTCTTCCTCAAAGCACATTATAATCAAACTGTCATAAGTCAAAGACAAAGAGAGATTTCTAAAAGGAGCAAAAAAAAAAAAAAAAGACAAACATTAAGTCACATATAAAGGCATTCCATTAGACTGTCAGCAGATTTCTCAGAAGAAACTTTGTAGGCTAGAAGAGAATGGGATGATATAGTCCAAGTGTCAAGAGAATAAAAAGAGCCATCAAGAATACTATGCCCAACAAAGCTATCTTTCAGAAATGAAGGAGAAATATTATAAGTCTTTCCCAGTTAAGAAAAAACTAAGAGAATTCATCACCACAAGACTGACCTTACAAGAAATGCTCAAAGGAATCGTTCAAACAAAAGCAAAAGGATGATAACTACTAACATGAAAATATATGGAAATATAAACCTCATGGGTAGAGGTAAATTCATAATCAAATTCAGAATACTATATATAACCTTTTAGATCTCCAGAATAAGGTTAAAAATTAAAATTGTCAAGGATAACTATATCTACAATCAGTTTTTAAGGAACCCACAATATCAAAAGATCTAAATTAAGACAAAAAATGATAAATTGTGGGAGAAGGAGAGAAAAAGTCTAGAGTATTTGAATTTGACCACACTTGAGTTGTTATCAGCTACAATAGTTTATTCCAACCATAATATTTTCATGTAAACACCAGAGTAACCAAAAAGAAAAATAGTACAGCAGATACACAAATGATAAAAAGAAATTAATCAAAGCTTATCACTACAGAAAACTAACAAGCCACAAAGGGAAACAATAAGAGAGGTAAAAAGAAACAAAGTATATAAAAATCAACCACAAAACAACAAAATGGCAGGAGCGAGTTCTTACCTTTCAATAATTACATTAAATGGAAAAGGATTATATGCTTCAGTGAAAATACAAAAAGTGATTGAATGGATAAAAAATAATACCCAACTATATGCTGCCCACAAGAAACTCGCTTTACCTGTAAAGACATAGACTGAAAGTGAAGGATTAAAAAATAATATTCTAAGCAAATGGAAACCAAAACAGAGTAGAAGTAGTTATATAAAATAGACCTTAAAAAAATGAAGTCAAAATCCATAAAACGAGACAAAGAAGGTCATTATATGATGATAAAGAAATCAATTCAGCAAGAGAACATAACAATTACAAATATATGTGTGTACCTAACACCAGAACACCCACATATATAAAGCAATTATTATTAGATATAAAGGGAGAAGTAACTGCAATACAATGATAATAAGGGACTTCACACTCAGCTCTCAGCAATGGATAGATCAGATCATCCAGACAGAAAATAAACAAAGAAACATTGGATTTAAACTACCAGACCAATGGACCTAATAGACATTTACAGAACATTCCACTGAACAGCTGAATATTACACCTTTTTCTTAATATCACATGAAACATTCTCCAGGATAGATTATATGTTAGGCCACAAAACAAGTCTTAACAAATTTAAGAAGATCAAAATCATTTCAGGTATATTTTCTGACCATGATGTTATAAAACTAGAAATCAATAACAGGAAGAAATTTGGAAATGTTACACATACATGGAAATTAAACAACATGCTCCTGACCAACCAATGTAACAATGAAGAAATTAAAAGTGAAATTAAAAAATTATTTGAGACAAATGAAAATAGAAATACAAAATACCGAGGCCTTTGGGATACAGCAAAAGTAGTTCTAAGAGGGAATTTTATGTCAATAAATGCCTACATTGAAAAAGAAGAAAGATCTCAAACAATCTAACTATGCACCTCAATAAGCTACAGAAAATAAAAACAAACTAAATCCAAAATTAGAGAAGGAAGGAAATAATAATTATCTGAGCAGAAATAAATGAAACAGAGACTTAAAAAAATACAAAACATCAATGAAATGAAGAGTTGGTTTTTGAAAAAATAAACAAAATGATAAACCTTTAGCCAGACTAAGAAAAAACAGACAAGGCTCAAATAAAATCAGAGATGAATAAAAAGACTTTACAACAGATACCACAGAAATACAAAGGCTTGTAAGAGACTACTATGAACAATTATACACCAACAAATAGGATAACCTAAAAGAAATGTATAAATTCCTAGACACATACAATCTTCCAAGAAGATTGAACAATGATTGTTCAAAGATTGTTCAAAGATTCCAATGAACAATGTAGAAATAGAAAATCTGATCAGACCAACAACGACTGAGGAAATTGATTCAGTAATAGAAAGTCCAGGACCTAATAGCTTCACTGATGAATTCTACCAAACATGTAAAGAAGAAATAATATCAATTTTCCCCAAACTATTCAAGAAAATTGAAAAGAAGGAAATACTTCCAAACTCATTCTACAAGGCCAGCATTACTCTGATACCAAAACCAGACAAGGATACCACAGAAAAAGAAAACTACAGGCTAATATTCCTGACAAATATAAATTCCTTAAAAAATATTAGCAAACCAAATTCAACAGCACATTAAAAATATCATCCATTATGATCAAGTGAGATTCATCCTAGAAATGCAAGAATGGTTCAATATACACAAATCAATAAATGTGATGCATCATATTAACAGAATGAAAAACAAACACCATATGATCATTTCAATAAATACAGAAAAATATTTGACAAAATTCAACATTTCTGCATGATAAGAACTCTCAACAAATTAGGTATAGAAGGTACATACCTCAACATAATAAAACCCATATAAGACAAACCTATAGATAATACCATACTAAATAGGGAAAAGTCCCCTAAGATCTGGAACAAGACAAGAATATCCACTTCCATCCCTTCTATTTGACATAGTATACTCTAGAAGCTCTAGCCAGAGCAATTAGGCAAGAGAAAGAAATACAAAGCACCCAAACAGGAAAGGAGGCAGTCAAACTGCCCCTCCTTGAAGATTAACAGTGATTATTATATGGGAAACCGGTAATGACTGCACCAAAACACGTTGAGACTATAAGCAACATTCAATAAACGTTGCAATAAACATATCGACATTCAGTAATCCGCTAGCTATCATTCTAATCAGTATCCTGCACTGACAAACATGAGGAACAGATAATCAATAAAGGATGATAGGTATTACAAACACAATGATATCAGAGAATAACTACAACATTACTATCACCACACTACAAACTGGCTACCTTAATTACAAAATTACATAGAAACAATCAATAATACACAAGTATGATTAATCTCACAACTAGAAACCGAGTAACACATCATTGGTTTAAAAGAAGATGTCATCAACATCTCTAATCATCAGGCGAAGAAATCCTGGCCTCAATAAAGCCGTACTAAAGGTGCTTATAAAATCTACACTTCGCTTATCTTCATATCTGAATAAGTCTCCTATTAACAAAAGGCCTAAAAACAAAGTAGAGGTTGCATGGTGTGATGGAGGATAGAGGGAGGAAGTGCAGGGACGCCGACAAATATCAGGTGGAGAATAAAAGCAGTGTCAGTCAAACCTGTTCTATCGAATAAGTAAGATAAGCAATAGAGAGAGACTACTAAACAGCGACCCAAAGTACAAGTGAGTCCCGCATCAGGAATAGTAAAGTCAGCAAAACGGGGATCCCAATTTAGATCCGTCGCCTTCACACTAACAAAAGGAACAACAAACCCGCAGTACCGTAATGACCAGGCACACGAGCATCCAATGTTTAGGCACAGAAAGGCACCAATAAGCGAGCGATGACAACTATCGAGGCAGCACGTGGTCGACCAAGAGACAGAGCAACCAGAGTCAGAGAGGAGGCGCCTCATGAGGCAAAGGGAGGAGAATGATTGAATTGGAATATAGATTTAGAATTATCCATTGAAGAGGAGAGTACTATTTGGCTATAAGAAACAATGGTGATCTAACACCTCTTGTATTTTCCTGGATCGGGCTGGAACCCATTCTATTAAGTCAAGTATCCCAAGAATGGAAAAATAAGCACCAGATGTACTCACCAGCAAATTGGTATTAACTGATCAACTCCTAAGTGGACATATAAGAATAACATCGGCCGGGCGCAGTGGCTCACGCCTGTAATCCTAGCTCTTGGGAGGCCGAGGCGGGCGGATTGCTCAAGGTCAGGAGTTCAAAACCAGCCTGAGCAAGAGCGAGACCCCGTCTCTACTATAAATAGAAAGAAACTAATTGGCCAACTGATA